AGGCAGGTCCATCACAACGAAGAATGCAGCGAAGTTCCATCCCTCCATCCATGCATTACTGCCGTATAGCACAATGTCCACAGTCAAAATATTATTTCCGCTGTTGTGACCCATAACTGGAATATGATGCTGATGGGGTAAAAACCATAAAATGTAATGTCGTAGTAATACTTGACGGATACTCACCTCCACCTCGTGGCGAACTTCGTCGATCGGACACGAAGAGATCCCGTGAAAAACCGACAGAGTGTGGCAAGCAAGCATTCTCTGCATATTTCCAATACCAGCAGTCCAACGGGAACACAGAGTGTTTGCCCTGGAAATCCAATTGTTCTTCTGGATCCACCATCTACCAACTTCACCCGAACATAGCACATATGCATTGTACAGCTGAAACTGTCATATAAAACATTTCCCCTCCGATACATGTCGCCAAAAGGCGCAAGACTATCTTCTTCCCCCAAAGAAAACATACGGTCATTAATTATAGCTGAATTTAAGCCGCATTTTAGTGCAGATACAGGCTATAATTACCATACATTTTATTCGGGGGAAGAAGACACGCCGTCGATTCACACCGAGTGTTTGCCCTGGACCAGTACAGCTGAAGCCATCATAAATGATGTCCCGTCCGATACAGCATGTCGCCAAAACTAGGTCATTCATCCAAGTCGACCCATCTCCAAGCTAGAATAGTAGGGGCGGCGAGGCGGCCACAGTTCCTCTCTTGCCAGACCTTTCTGCTCGAGCGCGCCCCCTACCAGTAGTCCAGCAGGGACAACCTCCTAGCCATTGCCACCAGGTGCAGCTGTTTCTGACTTTTCCTCTTTCCACGGTTTCACGACCTTTCCACCTTACGGAGATCTTTAGGGCTCTTTTCAGAGATTAGCATTCTCCTCTTTTTTTTTCTTTTTTCTTTTTTTTTCTTTGTAAAACAGAACCTTACGGCTCTGGCTCCTTATCCATTCTGGGGAGCATCAGTCCGGTTCCTATTCCACCGGCAAGTCAGAAATGATTACAAAAGGTACTCACACATGCTCCTCCCCCTTATGGGAGGAAGGCCCGAAAGACGGCATTGATTACTTCCGGTGGGAAGGATGTACCATCATTCACCCCTGCCTAAGTTATCCTATTTGATGTGATCTTGGGCTTGTAAGGCTTCTTGGAGTTGTGGACTCTGTAATGTGGTATCTGTCTGTCGGATATATCTGTGCTTTCCCTAGTTCTTCCTCTCAGCTGTAAGGCTGTCAGATCTGTGTGTGTTGCTGGTAGAGCTAGGTCTGTCCTCCACTGTGTCTCTAACTATGGTCTTTAGTCCTAATATTCTAAGAGCTGCAGTGCTTTTTCGCCTGCGGCTCAATCATCATATCATAATGGAGATCGAGGTTGCGCTGCGCACACAAAGGGAGAAAGAAACAAGTGCTACTCCTGAAGGCGGCAGAGATGATATCAAACTCGAAAGGTTTTTGAAGTTACACCACCAGTACGTCCAAGCCAACTGTTTCCATGGGCTTGAAACACCCTCCGCACCAAAACAAGGGTAGCTGCAGCTCGGGCCGTCTTTCGACCGGCGCCGCCAGCCATTTTGCGCCGGTCGGCCAACCCCCGAAACGCGCAACCAGATGCATGCCGCCTTAGAGAAAAAACTGGCTCCCAAGCATACTTCAACTTCTGGTTTCGACTGAACAAGCGTCAGTGTGGTAGAACGACCATGAAGAATCGCTTGCCAGGCCAACACCGCAGCGATGTACATATTGCGTAATCCAGAAAACACAATTAWAACAAGTGGACCCGCCGCAGCGATGCTGGGGCCCAGCAGAAGGGAAAAGAGAGAACACGACAGAGTCGAGAGCGAGGGAGGACAGGAGGGGGAGAGGACAGGAAAGAGCATCCACGCTTTCGTTCCTGGGTTGGCCTCTGCACCTTTCTACTGTCACAGTCGGTCCCTTGACCAGGAAATCCAATACTTAACCCAGTACATTTCCCAGCTCTGGGCCGCCGGCCCTGCGTGCCGAGTTCGGCGGCGGTGCATCTGGCCACCGCCGGCGGCCGACTGCGGCCTCTGTGTTAGCGCGCGCGTCTCCGCGTTTCGGCAGGGCAAGGTAGTGGTGGTCTAAACCACGAAGCATGTTTCTCTCCTTTGAACTATTACCACACAACTAGAATGATCTTCGAGCAACAGGGGGATGTCGGTGGAGCAAAGAGAAAACGAACTGTCCATACACGCGATACTGCGCCACGCCTTGGCTTGCGATCGCAGGAGCATTCCTTCGGCCTTGAAGCATTACTCACTCGCTCTCTCCACCGACAACCCCGTGAAGCACTGACGAGGCATCCCTCACTCACTCCCTCCCTCCCTCCCTCCACAGACCCCCCTCCCCTGTAGCAATGAGATCGTCCTAGACAAGTGGGTAATACTGCGAAGGACAGACGCATGTTTCATGGTTTAAGTATTGGATTTCCCGGTCAAGGGCGTAGCCGTGACAGTTAAATGTCCAAAGACAACCCCAGCAGCAAAAAGGTCGGCAGGGTGATCGACAAACATAACCCTGCTTTTATTGCTCAAGATCAGTGTATCAGAATTCAGAGAGACAGTCCTTGGGGACATGTGTTAAAATTGGAACAATACGGAGAAAGAGAAGATTAGCAAAAGGCCCCTGCGCAAGGATGACACGCATAAATCGAGAAACCGTCCAAATTGGGGAAAAAAAACGAATCGAGAGAGACATTCAAAATAGAAATGTCAAACAACAGCACAGCAACAAGTTCGCCGCATCGAGATGGGCTAATTCACAAACATGGCACCTCAACATTCAACATGCACCTGGACATCTTTCTGGACAAGGTGCATTCGGACTATCACGACATTTTGAATGTACCAAGACGATTATAAGCTCCAGATACGTACAGGGCATTGTGCAATGGAGCAAGGCCCATGATTCCTTTCCAAGTTGAGACTCGGGGTTTAGGTGCCGCAGCTGGCATCACATTATCGTCCCCTTCTTTTTTATTTGTCTTTCCACAAGGTCATTATTGAGTTGGGCAAATAATGACCTTGTGGAAAGACAAATAAAAAAGAAACAAAAAAATATTACAGCTGGCTGGTGAAGACCATCTATCGCACCAGCGACCCTGAAAATGAAACATGGGAACTGGTTCAAAAGAGCAATAGGGAATAAGAGGCCCCACACAGACAGAGCAGAGTATGGTGCTCACACACGCACATACACAGAGAGCAAGCGAGCGAGCGAGCGAGCGAGAGAGAGAGAGAGAGAGAGAGAGAGAGAGAGAGAGAGAGAGAGAGAGAGAGGGGGGGGGGCAGCGGAATAAGAGGCCCTACACAGACAGAGGTCCTATGCAGACAGAGCTGAGGATGGTGCTCACACACACACACACACACGGGGGGAGAGAGAGAGAGAGAGAGAGAGAGAGAGAGAGAGAGAGAGAGAGAGAGAGAGAGAGAGAGAGAGAGAGAGAGAGAGAGAGAAATTGGAAATTGTTGACGAGGGTTCTCCTTCAATGAGGGTTTGACATCCCACCGTCTGAGATCAGATGTCTGTCACCAACAGTTCAGAGAAATCAGACGTCATTTCTCAAATCAAAATAGTGTGTGATTTAAGCAAATAGTGCGAGACAGGACACACGCATTCGGCAAATAGTACAAATCAAATCGATGGACCGTGCACCCATTGATAGGGGGCGGCAGCATTCTATGCGCAACAACACCAACCACCAAAAAGTTAACCCAGTAGAACAAAGAGAAAGGAACAAAGAAACAGAGCACGTAATATGCGCATGCACATCTGTCATTTCCTCGACCAAACTAGAGATGAACATAAGAGTAGTTTGTCACACCTTCCATCTGCCTGTCACCGAGCTCAACTCCACAAAACTCATTTCTCAAATTGAATTTATTTCTCAAATTGATTGTATTCAATGTATTATAATACCAACACTTGTCTGTATGACTAACACATTCTCCTTCCTAACTTTCTTGCACCCCATGCATTTCCGCGTGTCCATCAAGAGATCATATCCACAGATTTTTATTAACCACCTGCTCCACACCAGTTGCTCTCTCAGCTACCTGATGATGAAGCACAGCAGCAATCACAGCTCTCTCTGCACACAAGGCACTCTCTGCAGTCTTCCGCATTCACTTATCGGTTATCACAATGTGCCAAAAAACACCACCAGAGCACACCCGGACCTGGAGGCCAAGCCTCCGTAAAAAAATTCCACAAGGCCTAGCCTTACTTCACGCCAAGCTTCTCTTTCTTTTTTGGCGGGCTCTACCAGCCATTGTGGTCCAGTAGGTCGAGCCTCCGTAAAAGTTTCCATAGGCGACGCGTTGCATTTTCAGCAAGGCTGGGGCCGCTTGTACTGGCGGTTTAACCTCCCCCCGCCCCCCTTCCCCCTTCCCCCCTCTTTCCATGCACCCCTATTTTTGACAAACAGAAAGTTCCGTTTTCCCGGTCCTGAAATCTACAGTGCGGCCACGAGGGAAGAAGATAATTGTGGTACCCTTGCCCTCTCTGAGCCTCTACCAGGCGTGCGCATCATAGATTTTGGCCCGGTACTTGTCGACAAGAAAAATGAACGATGCACTGGCCGTTGGAGTGGGGTAGTTTAGCCCTTGGTTGATGGCTCAATACATGGCAATCAAATCATAAAAGATGAGATCATGAAAAGCATACTTAAATGGAGAGAAGAATTGACACCAAACATGAAGTTTTCAAAAGCATTCGAAGTTTTTTCTCTTGTTTGAAATAATTGAAACACAACAAAAAGATGCTGGCAGTAAGTACCAAACAATAGAAAGATTTTACAAAAAAAAAGAAAAAAAAAAGAAAAAAAAAAAAAAAAAGAAAGATTTTACAAAAATAGGTCAATGGTATATTTAATATTATTCATATCGTCAAACAGAACTGCCGGGTGAACCATAGGTAGACAAAGAGGAAGAGGCTAGCACAAGAAGCGAGGGGCTGCGACAAACTGTTTCGTCAGAGTTTCGCAAGACTCGTCATCATACACAAGTACATACTCTATCGTCAAACAGAGCTGTGCATTAATCCGTAGGCAGAGAGGGAGGGAGAAGAAAGAGGACAACAAACGAGGGGGGGCTGCGACAAACTGTTTCGTCGGAGTTTCACCTACCGACTCATCAGGCGTACATATATAGACAGACTCCACGACTTCACAAAGAGGGGGGGGGATGAAAAGGCCATGAAAACATCAGGAGCTTGAATTTGACGCCACCAATCAATCCAGCAATGAAAAAGTCGCAGCGAACTGAAATGGAAACAATTCCTTTGTTGCCCAACTAGCGTACAAGTCGCTAACGCTAGCCTAAATTTCCAGCCACCTTCATAGCAGGAAATAGAAAAGAGTATCGCTTTTTTCTTATTTTCGACGGCAAGGGAATCAGCGTCCAGAGCGGCAAGCGTCTACATTCCTTAATCAATCACATCCTTCATTGCTTCATCCATCCATCGGCCAAATGCATGGTCACAATCACCAGTAGCCTTTTCATCACCATCTCAGAATCGCAGGCTTCGTCAGAATAGAGACCCCCCATTACCCCTGTCTGCAGACTGCACACCTCATAATAACCCCGCATCCGTCTAAAAATTCATACACACCACCTTTTTTGGGAGACCAGTACCCACAGCCGGACAGTACATTTCCAGCAAGCAATCAGAGCCTTTCATATCCTCCGACCAACAGTTCGTCAACCCCGCCTTTGTAACTTCCGCGGCATGCCAGCAAGGGATTGGGATTGCCCTCAGACAGTTTTGCCACAGACAAGTGTTCGCCCTTTGCAAAGAAGGAATAGATAGTAGACGGACTAGCGGCAGCTCTACCCAAAGAAGGAATAGATGGTGCACCTCAGCATTGCACTAGCCACTGCACCTACCTACCTCTTCGGGGGCTCACTGTGAGAGACCCAAGGGACGAGGTTGCTCTCTCTCTCTCTCTCTCTCTCTCTCTCTCTCTCTCTCTCTCTCTCTCTCTCTCTCTCTCTCTCTCTCTCTCTCTCTCTCTC